ATATAGTGAAAGGAATTTTTATTTGTGGTCTATTTTTCCAAATAAAAGCCTAGAAAACAACCCATCTTTTTTTACAAGAGAAATGCTACGTAGTCAACCTAGCGTACAACTAGGTTGACAATACAGGTAAAAAAACATTCACAAATATAAAAATGAAAAAATATACAAGTAGACGTTTCCACTTGTGTTGTCAACCTAGTTGTACACTAAGTTGGTTATGTATCATTTTTCTTTTTACAATTCCTTTCTAAATTGGTTCCACTTCTTTTGGTTTTCCCTAAATAAGTAAATATGAAATTTATTTTTTTCTAGTTAGATTTGGCTGGCTTCGATGGGGACAATGTCTGGGCCCAGCCGATACAGACAGGCCTCCTCAAATGTTTTATTTAATTTGAACAAACTAAGTGAGTCTTTAACTAATGGGCCAGTTCATAAATGAGTCAGCTCAGTAAACGACAAGCTAGCTAGTATATAATATAATAATTATATATCGTTAAACTACATTCATTTTTCATTTTTTTTCCGGGTAAAATTACATTTTATGGAGAAACTCATAAAAAATCGTCACAATTTAGGATAATTTCGATTCAAAATGGCATTTATAGAACAAGAAATAATAAAATTGCTCAATTTTTGGACAAAAGGGACTAGAAGATTTGACATGACTCTTTATATGCCTTTATGAACAAATGATATCAATTTGTCATCTTGCACCAGCTTCTTTAGAGACAAAAACTTTAATTTTAATTAAAATCACAAACGTTTCACAGCGTATAATTATAATTCAGTAACCCTAACACAAGCGTGAGAAAGTTGACAACTATCAATCTACTTTTTTTAGGGATCATTCAATTTTCTCAATAATTGAACTGAATTGCAGTTATCGAATTTTTACCATTGAATCAACGCGCAAATACACATATAAAGGTATATTTTGCACTGCAATCATTTGTAGTGTAGAATTTTGCACCTATTAGGTAGGTGAGTTGTCAATTTTAATCCACATGGGCACTCCACCAAAAAGCTTACTTGGCCCGATTTGGAAAAAACCCCAAATTGGAGGTGGTTTAGGGGCACAATCTCCACAACTTAATTAATTATTATTTCATTTTTGTCAAATTTAATCCACATGGTACTCCACCTAAGTTTTACTTGGCCTGATTTGGAAAAAAAACCCTCAAATTGTAGGTGGTTTAGGGCACAATATCAACAATCTGATTAATTATTGTCCCAAATTATTATTTTAAATAAATTATCATTTTTGTCATGCATGAGGTCAAAATTGGTGGGAAATTTTGCATTTTTTTTTTGCCTATATTGAGATTCATGTTTACAATAAGTTTACTTCATTGGCGACCAAATTGAAAATATCCAAAGATCTCATTAACTAGTTTATTTGGCTGTATATGAAGCTGTCAAATTTTTGTTTAATTCAGCGCCTACTTTGTAAATTGTCTTATTTACCTAAATTCAATATAGGACTGCAAACGAGTAGGGTCGAGTCGAGTATGGACCTTGTCGAGTGCAGATCGAATTATTTTTTTCAATGCTCGAGCTCGACGAGACATGTAAATGTTGCTCCACTCGACTCGTGAAAAAAAATAAGAATGCTCGAGCTCGAATCGATGCTCAACATGGCTTGAGTTCGACTCGAAATTTTAACAACTAAATTTTAAATATAATGTACTATTTTTAACCTAATAGTCAATTTATGTAAATAAAAAGTCCAACGACTCACCGAGCTTACGAGCATCTTGAAATG